ATCAGTACCTACCTATATTCGATATTTTGAGGATTTTAGGTACAATATTCCCCGAAATTGTTTGAAATTTCGTATTTGAAGTTCGTAAAAGGTACTACAGTCTGTGACAGAAAATTGTCTATGTAGGTCCAGGTCTTCGTATAGCCCCAATATAACGATACCTTCCTGTATTCAGTATTTTTGTGATTTTAGCTCGTCGTTCATCGGATTTTTTTCAAATTTGATATTTGAAGTTGGTAATGGATGCTATCGCCTATGATAGAAAATTGTCTGAGCAGGTCCACGTCTTCGTATAGCCCCCATGTAACACTGCCTCCCGATATTCGGTATTTTAATGATTTTAGTGACATTATTCACCGGAATTTTATCAAATTTGGTATTTGAAGTTGGTAATGGATATTACAGTCTGTGACAGAAAATTGTCTGTGAAGGTCCAGGACTTCGTATAGCCCCGGTATAACGATACCTTCCTGTATTCGGTATTTTGATATTTTTAGCTCATTATTCACCGGAGTTTTTTCAAATTTCGTATATGAATATTTTAATGGCTTGTGACAAAAGTTACTTATTCAGGTCCACGTCCTAATATTTATTATTCGGTATTTTTAAGATTTTAACAGAATTTTAACGGATTTTATTTTTTTGAAAATGCCCGAATTCGTTCCAAAGCATTAATCATAAAAGTCTAAAGAGCAATTTTTTTGGAACAGCTTTTCCACAATCGTTCCAAAATTCATCTAAACAAAGTTTGGACTCAAGGATGTTATTACAAAAAAATTAAATAAAATAAAATCACAACTAATTCAACAGACAAATGTACTAAAACGCTCAAAACGTGGACCGATTTCAATGACTTGCCATTAAGACATATATATGTGTTAGAAATTTTCTTATATTTGCCCTAAATTCCATTCCAATTGCTAAAATTTTTCAAATAGGCCTCAGCGCGTTTCGTTTTTCTTTCCAAATAAATAATGGACTAATATCTTCAAAAATTGTTTTTTTTCCTTTCCAAATACATTGTATTTAAAAACCAGCCACATAATTATGAGTTTTTTTTTGCAAAACATTATTTTTGTACCCCAATACGATTAGGTTAATAATTTGTTGGCAGCCCCTAAAAATAGCCCGACCATACATATTTTGTTAATGTTAAGGAATTTATTTTCATCCAATGTTGCGTGTGTGTGTGTGTGTGGTGGATTCATGATTTTTGTCAATATCGAAATTTGTTGCACAGCATTTTCTAATGTCCCCCATAAACGACACTGGCAATTAAAAATACGACGTTGTACAAAACTACAAAATATATGTACGAAGAAACGGCGGCAAAACAAGCAACAGTAGTAGTAGCATCATGAGAATTGGAATAACAAGAGATGTCATTTTATTCCCATTAGGAGACTTATAATAAACAGACCTGGAAGCAATTTTAAAAGACTTCGTTACATTTTAGGTTGGAGTCAAATGTGGAGGACATTTTTATACTCTATATATTCTTGATCAGCGTCGATCAGTCGATTTGGCCCTATCCGTCCGTCCGGCCGTGTATTCGTCTGTTGTAATCACGCTAGGGTCAAAGATAGGAAGCTAAAATTTTGCACAGATCAGTCTTTTGTCTGCAGGCAGGTCAAGTTCGAAGATGAGCTATATCGGTCCACGATATCGTATAGCCCCCATACAACGGAACCCCCCGATATTCGGTATTTTGATGATTTTTGGGACATTACTCACCGGAGTTGTTTCAAATTTCGTATTTAGAGTTCATAATGGGAACTACAGCCTATGACAAAAAATTGTCTATGCAGGTCCAGGTCTTCGTGAAGCCCCGATATAACGGTACCTCCCTATATTCGGTATTTTGATGGTTTTAGCTACATTATTAACCCAAATTGTTTGCAATTTCGTATTTGAAGATCCTAATAGGTACTACAGGCTGTGACAGAAAATTGTCTATGCTGATCCTGATCTTTGTATAGCCCCGACATAACGGTATCTCCCTATATTCGGTATTTTGATGATTTTAGCTACATTATTTACCGAAAAGGTTTTAAATTTCGTATTTAGAGTTCGTAATGGGAACAACAGTCCATGACAGAAAATTGTCTGTGCAGGTCTAGGTTTTCGTATGGGGCCCACCTCCATATATTCGGCATTTTGACGATTTTAGATACAATATTCACGAAATTGTTTGAAATTTCGTATTTGAACTTTGTAATAGAGCCCTTGACTGAAAATTGGCTATGTCGGTACCTCCTTGATAATGATTTTAGGTACTTTATTCACCGGATTTTTTTAAGTTTCGTATTTGAATATTTTAATGGCTTATGATAAAAGTGACCTATGCAGGAACGCCGTCCTCATTGCCCATTTTCAATTTTTATACCCTCCATCATAAAATATAAATATGTCTAAATGTGGTTGGAGGGTAAATTTTGGAAGATACCAGCTTAATTCCCATTTTGCAAAATTCTCTAACAGAATCTCAGTTCTCGGAATTTTTCTATATAAAAAGGTCTTGTGCATTTGACTCTAGGTCATTTGCCCCCGAGTGTTTGTTTTTCTCATATACCATAATGATGACACCTCTTGCAATGCAACATCTGCTTACCGGTCTCTTCGGTATTTTTTTTCTGTTTAGTTTGGTTGCCACATTCATTTGCCTTGGCTTGCAGCCAAATAATATTCTATTTTTTGTATAGTCAATAACAATTCGCACGAGATTTTTGTCCTAAAAATATCTTGAACCACAAGCAACACCAGCAACAACAATGAAATATGTCTGTCGCCCCATGTGCAAAAATAAAAACAATGCTATGCGAGATTCGGTTGGTCCGCTGTTTGCACAGCACAGCACAGCATCGCATAGCGAGCCAAATACACAACACAATTCACTTTAGACTCTTGTCAGACGCAACGTCTCGACAGATTTATATTTTACGTTTCATTCTGTCTGTCCGACAGCGATGTTATTTTGTTCTGTTTTTTCGCGCGCATTGAGACCGCATGGCATGGAACGGTGGCCAAGAGTGCGCGCCAAGTGAAATATTCGAATTTCACCCAAAATGAGAACGTAAATTTAGAGATCTTGTTGTGAATGTAATTCTTACTATGTATGACCGACCAACTGACCGTCGAACGTCCGACCCGGCATGTGGTAAAGAAGAACCCCCTCCCTCCCCCAAGACAAAATATCTAAACGAAATAATCGGTTACAGGCAAATTAAAATATTTTTCTTTTAAACTTTTAATTGTGTTATGGAAAAATGATCCCAAGCGTCTAGAATTTCTGAAAAATTCATTGCGGTTTTTGTCAACAAAAAAAAAAAAGTTAAGAGCATATAATGCCCAGCCGAACTTTGTATACCCTCCACCATTTGGAACGAATTTGGCAATTTTCAAAACAAAAAAAAAAAAAAAAAAATAAATAAATAAAAAAATAAAATCCATTAAAAATTCTATTAAAATCTTAAAAATTCCGAATGTGGCCGTTGTATTAGGGTCTATACGAAGACGTGGACCTGCATAGGCAACTTTTGTCATAAGCCATTACAATATTCAAATGCGAAATCGGAAACAATTCCAGTGAATAATGTCGCTAAAAACATCAAAATACCGAATAACGGGAGGTACCCTTATATGAGGGCTATACGAAAACGAACTTTAAATACCAATTTTGAAAGAATTCCGGTGAATAATGTCGCTAAAATCAACAATGTACCAAATATCGGGAGGTACCCTCATATAGGGGCTATACGAAGACGTGAACCTGCACAGACAATTTTCTGTCGTAGGCTGTAGTATCTATTACGAACTTAAAATACCAAATTTCAAACAATTCCGGTGAATATATACGAAAAAGTGGACCTGCACAGACAATTTTCTGTTTAAGGCCGTAGTATTCATTACGAACTTTAAACACCAATTTGGAGAGAATTCCGGTAAATAATGTAGCTAAAATCATCAAAATACCCAATATCGGGTGGAACCGTTATATGCGGCCTATACGAAGACGTGGACCTGCACAGACAGTTTTCTGTTATAGGCTGTAGTATCCATTACGAACATCAAATACCAAATTTGAAACAATTCCGGTAAATAACCTCGCTAAAACCATCAAAATACCGAATATCGGGATGTACCCGAATACGTAGACCAGCACAGAAAATTTTCTGTACTAGGCTGTAGTATCCATCACGAACGTTAAATACCAAAGTTGAAATGATTCCGCTGTATAATGCCGCTAAAATCATTAAAATATCGAATGTCGGGAGGTGCCGTTATATGGGGCCTATAAGAAGACGTGGACCTGCACAGACAATTTTCCGTCATAGGCTGTAGTATCCATTACGAACTTCAAATACCAAATTTTAAACATTTCCGGTGAATAATGTAGCTTAAATCACAAAAGTACCGAAAATAGGGAGGTACCGTTATATGGGGGCTATACGATCTACATGGCCCATTTTCAATACTAAAAGTCCTGCATAAGTAATATACACTTGAATAAAATGTTATCAACCTACTTCATTTCGTTCGGAAGCTAGAGTGATATCCACAGAAGGACCGACGGAGGGACCTCTGGTCAAGAATACATACTTTGTGGGGTCTAAAATGTATGTTTCGAGGTGTTACAAGCGGAATGACAAACTCAATGTACCCTACATACTATGGTGGATATAAATGTGAAGAAACTTGCCTTGGAAGACTTGCAATTGCCGTTGACATTTTGGTCCATTGACAATATTGTGTGAGCGCCTATAAGTATGCTTTACAAATTGTATGTACAAACGTGAATAGTCAATTGACATATAATTCTACTATTATATAAAGACTCAGAGACCAGATTGGCTTCAATGGCCATTTACTTTTTGATTCTAAAATATAGTCCCCATTTTTATGAGATATTAAAACTTGGACTTAGCCTTCCTCCATAAAATTTCGTTACTCATAAAATTGTCATTTAACATCCCCTCTATTTTTTTATTATCTACTTACAGATGCTATCGGTACAGACGGCCGGCTGTGCGGGAATGGAGCGGCTCGGCGTTCCGACCCGCACCACATTGAATACCCCACCAGACGATAGGTAAACCATCAACGAAATTCACCAGCAATCATAGTAAAAATTTAATAATAGTTTTGGATTTTTCTAGGGGTCAATTTATTTGTAGAATGCACATAGATGCTGCCAGAGATCTATTGGGGGTACGTAATAGTGAACCTGTGATTTGTGGCAGCAACAGCAATAACCATCATCACCAGCTGCAGCAGCAGCAGCAACATCTCCAACAGCAACCTCAACAACAGCATAATAAGCACCAACATCACAACAACAGTGAGCAGACCACCCACCTCCAGCAGCACCACAAGCAACAGCAACAGCAGCAACAACAACATCACCATCATCAACTCCTTGTCAGACATCGCACATCAGGGCCAACAATAAACCCAACAGCATCACATCCTACCTCAGCCAGTGGCAACAATAGTAGTATTAGCAACAATAACCTTAACAACAACACCAGCGGCAGCAGCAGCAACAATTGCAACAACAATTTAACGCCAATGACCAATAACACAGATGGCAACAGTCGTGGCCTTAGCAAAGCTGCTATTCCCATTGTGTCCGCCAGCAATAGCAACAACACAACCGCCGTCAACGCCACCAGCCATTGTGGCAAATTGAACAAAATGTGCTGTGTGGGTGGCAATAGCAGTGATGGTGGAAGTAGTGGTGGTGGCAGTACACTGTCCTCCTGCTGCAGTAGCATTGGTTCCCAGTGCTCGTTGAGTTCGCACAGCCACGATCATCATCAGCACTATCAGCACCAGTTGCAGCAGCAGAAGACACTTTGTTGTCCCCATCATGTTCCTTTGCCGGATAGCGAATGGATACCCACAGATCAGAGATCGGGGCAAATGCGTAGCAGTTATCAGGTAGGTGGTCAATGATAACTTTTAAATTAATTGGAAGAAATTCTAACTTTTCTCTTTTGCCCTTAGCACTCGGAGCTCACACGGTCCTATATTAAACCACCACCCAATAAAACGGTTAAAGATGTTCCAGATCGTTCGTCGTACAATTTTTATTCCTCGGTAGCGCACAGTTCGAACTTAGGTTTGCATTCCTTGACGTCATCCCAATCGTTGCCTCTAAGCAGTTCCACGGCAAGTGTGGCCAGCAGCACCTCCAGCGGCAGCAGCAGCGGCAGTAGTGGCGGCGGTGGTGTTGCCCCACAAACCAAATCAAAACCAAATGTGATTACAAAATTCTTCTATCGCAAGAGCTCACCGAAATCTCCTAATAATGTGGCCAACTCTAACTCCTCAACAGCCTCGCTGGCCTCGTCGACGGCATCACTAAGCGGGTTTCCAGCGAATACTATGTACTCGATTTTGAACTCCACATCATCGTCATCATCTTTGGCCTTTTCATTGGGTTCCTCCAACTCTTCGCTGTTGTCTTCGGCCAGTGGCAGTACTTCGTCCACGATGTCTCTGAATTCACAGGCATCGGCCACAGTTCCAGCAGCCTCTGCCTTAAGTATGGCCCCTCTGGCCACACTGCCTGTATCAACGGCAGCCACACTAAAGACAACACCCTGTGATTATGGCCCCAATATGCAACAAAACTCAGGAACAGGTGTTAATAATATATCCATAGGTTTGGTGCCTAGTACCCAATTGCTGACCACCATTGGAGTTTCACATCCCACAGCTACAATAACAACATTCCCACACACCAATGCCGTGGAGCGTATACCAACACCACCCTTGTCAGTAACGGTGCCCATTAGTAATGTATACCACCAGCAACAACAAAGACAACAACAGCAATTGTTGTTGGACTGTTTGGTTGGCGATTCAGCATCCGTATCCAGCACCCTACAAAGCATTAAAAGTAGTTCTTGCAGTCCCACTATCAGTGCCGCCAATGCCTTCAGCAGCAATTCCGATAACAGCAAAAATGACGATTCTGTCCAAATGGAATGTCAATCCGGCAATATAACACGTAACAACAGTAGCAGTAGCATGCAAAGTTTGTCCTCAGCTGTGACGGCAACACCGGTCGAATGCAGTTGTCAACATCCCAGTTGTAAAAATTGCAGCAGCCACAGCACGGCCTGTACTGATGCAACCACACCATCGTCATCATCATCATCACCATCCGCGTAGTAGTAGCTGAAAGAGTAACATATATTTAAGAGCAAAACAAAAGAAAAACAAAAAGCAAATAATCACAGATATGTAACAGAACTTTCAAGGCAATATTAATGTTGGAGTCGGAGCCAGAGACATGAACATTAAATACAGGGGTACGTTTCGTGGTCAATTGATGGAGTAATGGCTAAATTTGTATACTTAAGTTGATGATATATAAGAAGCTCGGTATCGTACCATGTCATATAAATGACAAATTATAGGAGAAATAGACGGTAGAATTTGTGTGCCGCTAGGACCTCCCTTCATAATATGCCATGCCATGATGCCAAGCTGCTTATATATCGTCACTTTTACAAAATAGATGTCCGATATTTGGCTTACAATTTCGTAACTCATCTTGTTATATATTTGTAGCTTCTAAAGTTCGGAATTTTGGTGGTTCCACCAACAATTTTAAAAAATATTCTTTAATTTGGAAAAAATGGCAAAACCGTGTGTACATTCGCTATTTTCTTTTTTTCGAAAGCACACCTGGAAAGTTCACGGAAAACGAAAGCGAGTTTCTTGGGAAAGGAGGGAGTTGAATGATAAATTCCTCATTTTCCTCTAGTCTTCTCTCCTAACAGAATAGTTTTTTTTTTTTAGCTTGGGAAACTTGAGAAAAAGTCCTGGCCACTTGAAAATTGTTCCCCTGTAAATAATAACTGTCAAAACTCCTTCTAACATTAGCTCAAAAGACTGTTAATTAGAATAATGGAAACTTTAAGTGTACTAAATCATGTTCGTAGAATTTGAAAAATTAAAAAAAAAACAAAAATGAATCACTCAAAACTTTCAACTATTGCAGAAAATTCGATGCAAATTTTAAAATAGAAAAAAAAAAATAATTAAAATTGCTGCGAATAAATGTCCAACAACATTTTTTTTTGGGTTTTTCTTATTTCAACTCTATAATTTGATAGAATAAATTCTGAAAGTAATATAACGTACATAAATACATACATATATAAACGTATAAATGTCTGTCTGTACCCATAAGTACACATATATATTAAATAAACACATACACACACATACATACATATACTATACATACACACAACAATCATTTCCATTTGTAACTAATGTCGCTATTAAATATTTTATTTAAATATTATAAAGAAAACAAAAACAACAACTATTACTATTTGCAAATTATAAATTTATGTATAAACAATTAATTTAGTATGTCTAATTTATAAGGACGTTTTTTTTCATTAAGTTGTTATAAACAAAAACATGGTTAAGGAGGAGAAAACAAAAACAAATTAAAATAATTTTTGTATTGCCAGAGTGTTAAAAACACACACAACAATTTATTCTTCTATTTTTGTTTAGTTTTATTTTATTACTTGTTTTAGGCCAAATTTTCTTAACACAAATCTAAAGAATTTTTCTTTTAGTTAAATTATTTTTATTTCGTTTGACTAAACTAAAAAAATAAATAAAATTAATATTTATTATAGTAGTTAAATACCAATGGCAATATTTGTAGTTTGAATTGATTGTCCCTAAGATTTTTAATAGTTATTTATTTCATTTTGCTTTAATTTTATTTTTCTCTTTTATTATTTCAAATCAAATGGGTCCCTGGCAATACCAAAAAAAAAAAAAATGAAGAACCAAAATCAAAAAGCATTTTTGTTGTAATCCTTAATTTTCTAAAGCAAATTAGTTTGAGATGCCAAAAAGCAAATCATTTGTTTTTGTTTTAACAAAAATTAAAAAAATATATATATTAATTAAGTCAACAATTAGGTCATTTTTATTTAAGAATTTGTAAATAAACACACATTTCTAAAAAAAGAATAATTATTATTAAATTAAAAATTTAGTTTTTAATTTTTAGATAATTAATGAAAGAAACAAAGACAACAATTGTTTAAAAACAAACAGAAAAAAACACACATTGATTCGTATATTTAATATATTTATCTTATTTACAAAAGAAAATTTTATTTTATTTAATAAAACAATTCAATTATAAAACAAACCAATACAAATGAAAAATATGCGTATTTTATTTGGGGTAATTTTAGTTTAATTTAAATTTCCGGAAGATATTTTAGAGGAAACAATTTGGGGAAATAAGTAAAAAAATACAGGGTGAGATGAAAAAATAGCAAACAATTTCAGACTGTTGTCATTTCTAAGCCACTCGTCCGACAGCTGTTAAAATTATTCCAGCGACAGCTTATTATATTATTCACAAGCGTACAGAAGCATTTTGGTGGGAATTTTGCAGAAAAAAAGTTATTCGTGGTGGAATTCAAGCGCGATAGTGTGATTTCTTTATATTTGCCTGGAAAACCACAAGTGGCTACCGTTAGAGCACTCCAGCACTTAAATGTGAATATATCTTGTGTGTTTCGCACCATCTCTCGTTACCGTGATACTGGTAGCGTAGCCCGACGTCAAGCGAGTGGACGGAAGAAAACAGCAACATCAGCAGAAATGGTTCGAAAAGTAAAGAGCGACTGGATCGAAACCTGCATCGGAGTGGCCGAAAAATGGCTAGTGAGCTGAACATATCGCAATATTCCATTCGGCAAATATTGAAAAATGAGCCCGGGGTAAAGCCATTGACATTCCAAAAAGTGTAAAAACTTACACCGCAACAGAAAGAAAATAGACTCAAAAGAGCTAAAGAGTTGCTTCGCTTGGCCGAAAGTGGTGAACTGCCGAACTTGGTTTTCTCCGATGAGAAAACATTCGTTGTCCAGCAGTTTGTAAACAAACAAAATGATCGTGTTTACTTGCCAAAGAGGTCAGCTAAAAATGTGCAGCTGGGCACGCAAATATTTTGGCCGCAGACCTTGGACATTTCAACAGTACTCAGCACCATCGCACGCAGTACGCGCCACCCAAGAATGGTTACAAAATGAGATTCCTCTCTTCATTTCTAGCGCACAATGGCCATCAGAATCTCCGGATACAAATCCGTTGGACCATTGTGTCTTGAGTATTTTGGAAAGCAAAGTTGGCACTAAAAAAATACCAACGTGTCGATCACCTCAAGCAAGCGCTTCGCCGGGCATGGGCCAAAATACCGCAGGGGAACATTCGGACAGCGTGTGACGGTTTCATTGGCCGTTTGAAGGCCATAATTTCTGCCAAAGGTGACAAATTCGAACAAATCTAAACTTATTCTAAAATTTTATGCAATTTCCGACATTTTTTGCTCTCATTCAATAAAATTAAAAATATATATAAAAATCATGGCATTTGGCTTTGTTGCAGTTTTTTTTTTATACCACCCTGTATAGGTATGACCTTCGTACAATACAGAGGTAAAAAAGTTTCTTAAATGCTATTAAAATACAACCCTGATTCCATGACCGCTTTTGTCAGAATTATTTCAAATGACATGCCTACTCCTACTCCCCCACCATTTATAGTATGGAGGGTATATTAAGTTTCTCATTCCGTTTGTAACTCATCGAAATAATAATTTTAGACCCAACAAAGTACACATATTCTTGATCAGCGTTAATTTTTTATAAAATCCGTCCGTCCATCTGTCCATCTGTTGTAATCACTCTAGAGTCAAAACAAATTAAGACAGGAAGCTAAAGTTGTGCACAAATCTGTCTTTTGTTTGCAGGTAGGCCACGTTCGAAGATGGGCTATATCGGTACACTATATCGTATAGATCCCAAATAACGGTACCCCCGACATTCGGTATTTTGATGATTGTAGCCAAATGCTTCGATTAAATAGTCTGAAAATCCACAAAATGAGTTCCTTCTGAGTACTTTACCCCCTGGGAGAGATATGTCCACGATATCGTATGGCCCACATACAACGTTACCAGTTCTCGTCTTCGTATAGGCCCCATATATTATTACCTCCCTATATTCAATATTTTGACGATTTTAGGTAAAATATTACCCGAAATTGTTTGAAATCTCGTATTTGAAGTTCGTAATGAATACTATAGCCTGTGACAGAAAATTGTCTATACAGGTCCTGGTCTTCGTATAGCCCAGATGTAACGGTACCTCCCTATATTCGATATTTTGATGATTTTATTCATTATTCAAGATTCGTATTTGAATACTGTAATGGCTTATGACAAAATTTGCCTATGCAGGTCAAAATAAAGGCTATATTCGGTATTTTTAAGATTTTATCAGAATTTTTAACCGATTTTATTTTTTTGAAAATTTCCCAATGGTGGAGTGTATTCGGGCCCGGCCGAACTTACTGCTTTTTTACTTGTTTCTTCTTAGATTTTGTACACGATCACCTCACAGTTCACATCAACATAAAAACCACTCTATTTCACCATATTTGTCACAGAAGTGACTCAAAAGTGTCTAACACAAAACGAAAGAGTAAACTCTGTTTAAAACAAAAACTCAACGAGCAAATCTGTGCTCTGGTTTTACACATTTGTTCAATTTAGAAGAACAGTGTTGTATTCTTAAAAATTGTTTGGAAGCCATGCTTGCCAACCCCCCATTGTCATGGGGACAATGGAGCTCGATCGTCGCTTAGAAACCCGTAAACAAGCCACGTAGGAGTAATAACAAATTGCCAGTCTGTATTTATTTCCCTAACGCAAACCAACTCAAATTTAACTTTAACAAAATGCAAACGGATCCACAGAAATACGATGGCAAAGTGTAAGCCTTACATTTAATGTTAATGGGAATTGTTATCTGTTATTATATTTTGTCTTTTGTATATAGGAAAGAGCAAGTGGATATGGAATTTAAGGCCCGTCGCAACTATCCCAGAAAATGGTTAAAATTTTACAATGAAACTCCATGGCAGGACATGTACAATCCGGACAAACTAAGCAAACAAATAAAAGAGCAAATGAAAACTAAAGGTATTGTGGGAAATAAACTCGATAGTAATAACTAAAACAAGTAAAGCAGCTAAGTTCGGTCGGGTCGAACTTTTTATACCCTCCACCATCCGGAAGGAACATGAAAATTTTCAAAACAAAAAAAAAAAAAAAAAAAATCTGTCGAAAAATACCGTTCAGATGAAAACCTTTATATGGAGGCTATACGAAGACGTGATGCTGGATAAGCTATTTTTTGCCATAGGCTGTAATGACGATTCCGAACTTTAAATACAAAATTCGAAACAATTCCGGTGAATATTGTCGCTAATATCATGAAAATACCGAATAAAGGGAGGTACCGTTGTATGGGGGGCATACTACGACGCGGACCTGCATAGATAATTTCCCGTCATAGGTTGTGGTATCCATTACGATCTACAAATACGACAATTAGATTTGTTGGAATTGGTCACCTTTGGCACGAATTATGGCCTTCAAACGGTGAATGAAATCGTTACACGTTGCCAGAATGTTGCTTTCCGGTATTTTGGCCCATTCCCGGTGAAGCGCTTGCTTGATCGACACTTTGGTATTTTTTAGCGTCAACCTTGCTTTCCAAAATACTCCAGACACAATAGTCCAACGGATTGGTATCCGGAGATTTTGGTGACCATTATGCGCTGGAAATGAAGCGAGGAGCCTCATATTGTAAACATTTTTGGGTGGCTCGTGCTGAGTGCTAAGTCTACTGGAATGTCCAATGTCTGCGGCCAAAATGTTTGCGTGTTCAAGGCTTTAATACATCCTCCAGAATATTTTCGCGATAATATTGGAACTTAATCTGATGCCACGGTCAATTAATACGAGTCGAGAGCGACAATCGGCTGTTATGGCGCCCCACACCATCACCATGGCCGGCGCTTGAGTTCTGGTGGCCAATCGAAGGAGCACATTTTCCGCTGACCTCTTTGACAAGTAAACACGATCGTTTTGTTTGTTTACAAACTGCTGGACAATAAATGTTTTCTCATCGGAGAAAACCAAATTCGGCAGTTCACCACTTTCGGCCAAGCGAAGCTACTCTTTAGCTTTTTTGAGTCTATGTTCTTTCTGTTGCGGTGGCTTTACCCCGAGCTCATTTTTCAATATTTGCCGAATGGAATATTACGATATGTTCAGCTCACGAGCCATTTTTCCGCCACTGCGACGTGGGTTACGATCAAGTCGCTTCTTTACTTTTCGAACCATTTCTGCTGATGTTACTGTTTTCTTCCGTCCATTTCCTTGACGTCGGGCTACGCTACCAGTATCACGGTAACGAGTGATGGTACCAGACACAAAAGATCTATTCACATTTAAATGCTGGAGTGCTCTAACGATAGCCACTTGAGGGTTTCCAGCCAAATATACAGAAATCAGACTATCACGCTTGAATTCCATCACGAATAACTTTTTTTCTGGAAAATTCTCACAAAAATGGTTTTTGGCTGTCACTGGAATAATTTTAACGGCTAAGAAATGACAGCAGTCTGAAGTTGGCAGTTTTTGTCAGTTACAGTTTTTTCATCTCACCTTGTATGGGGGCTATATGATATCGTGGGCCGATATAGCCCATCTCCGAACTTGACCTGCCTGCAGACAAAAGAAAGATCTGTGAAAAATTTTAGCTTCCTATAATTATTTGATTTGACTGTTGCGTGATTACAACAGACGGAAAGACGGACGGACTTTGTTGGGTTTAAAATTATTATTTCGATGAGTGTCGAACTTAAGGGTATAAACAGTATGCAAACAATTACTTGTTGAAAAGCTATTTTGAGAATTTATTCTGGAATTTATACTATTAGAACGTGACGTCCTGTTTTGAAGAATTCGATAATTTCCGTTAAGTTTTTGAGAGAAGTTCGACCGGTAGGTTCATCAGGCTCCCAAGTTTGTTGTCGAAAAAAATAATAGTGATTTGAAATTCAAAGAATGTGATGTAGAAGTTACCCTGTTTATTGGAAAAGTAGTCTTCTTGTTCGACTTTGTGTAGGAACTCTATGGATTGCTGCTTTAAGACCATGATAATATAATACATGAAACCACATGAATACAACTTCTAAAACCACGAACTTTGAAAACATGTTTGGAAAATTTTGGATGAAAAATTATTCAAATTTATTAAAATTGTTAAAAATCACCTGTACTAAAAACCTCCGAATGACGTATATTCACAAATATTTTAAAATTGTTGACACATCGATGTTCACAAGAGATGATGGATATCATCATTCCTAAGACATATAATCCCTGTTATAAACAAAATATTAAAATAATAAATAATTTCAGACTTAAATCCTTATAAATATACCAGTGAAGGCGATGGCCACTTTGTTTCACCGGGAATGTACAATTCCCTATTGGCCAAATGTCGTTGTGGAAGACCTCATTCAGATGTACATTTGTTGAGATGCCTACAAAAGGAGCAGAGTAAATATTTGGAAAATGGTAATACCCAATTGGAGAATGACAAAAAGGAACATTTGGAATTACCAAAGACATCTAATGGTTAGTGGAAACGGAAAGAAAATTTTTATAATTTTATATTAATTGTTTTTGTATTTTTCAGCATTTGTTGGCTGGCACACCAAACAACCGATATATAAACAATGGGAGGAATCAATAAAATACAAGTCGCCAATTTATGATATGCCTGGAGAACGCATAACTACTACACCCTATAATGCCATAATAATCGGATGATTATACCACTAAATATAATTGAAGATTTGATAAAAATGTAAAGGAATTTGGAATAAATTGGATTGATTAAAGGCAGAATATTCCTTCAGGTTCTTTAATAAAATTTTGTAATATTTCAAAAAAAAAAAAAAAAAAAAAAAAAAAAAAAAAAAAAAAAAAAAACAAGTATAAACAAGTAAAAACAAGTATAAAGCTGTATTGAAATGCTTCAAACTTTGAATACCTTCCACCATTTGGGACGAATTTGACACTTCTCAAAAAGAATAAAATACGTTGAAACTTCTGTTAAAATCTTAAAAGTACTGAATGTAGCTATTATATTAGGGTCTATACGACGACATGACATTTGTCATAAGCCATTACATTATTCAAAAATAGATTATAATGTCGATAAAATCAAAATACAGAATATCCGGAGGTGCCGTTATATGGGGGCTATACGAAGACGTGGACCTGCACGGACAATTTTCTGTCATAGGCTGTAGTATCCATTATGTACTTCAAATACCGAATTTGAAACTATTCCGGTGAAAAATGTCGCTAAAATCATCAAAATACCGAATATCGGGAGGTACAGTTATATGGGGCTATACCAAAAGGTGGACCTACATGGCCCTTTTTCAATACCAAAAGTCCTGCAGACATAACATACATTTGAGCAACATTTTATCAATCTGCTTCAATTCGTTCGGAAGCTAGAGTGGTTTCCACAGAGGAATAGACAGACGGATATCGCTAAATCGACATAGAATTTTATGCTGATCAAAAATATATATATTTGTGGGGTCTAAAATGTGTATTTCGAGGTGTTACAAACGGAATGACAAACTTAATATACCATCCATACAATGGTGGAGGGTATAAAAAAAAATAAATTGATTGGGATTTAAGGATGAACAAACACACATTGCTAAATCGAATCAGTTTTGATTGGGCCTGTATCTATAACCCACACAACAAAGTGGGTAAAGCCATAGTTACTTTGGAGGATCTTAATTTAAATAACTTTCTGAGTCGATTTACGCATGTCAGTCTGTCTGCCCATGTATTTTTGTGAAAAAAATGCAGGTCGCATTTATTATCCGATTGATAATAAATATTTGTTTGGCCGAAGGACGAACCTTATTGACATTGGAGAGATTCGGTTCACTTAGCTCCCAGATATACCAAATCGTATACAATATATATCTTCAACCGATTTTGAGTTAATTATGCACCAAACGGCCAATATCAGTCCAATTACCTGAATTTTTGGCTATTCCGACTAAATTCATCCTAGAAACAACCACATCAAATTTGGCACAGATATAGCTAAAGCTCATCCGATTTGGTACGAGATAATTTATGGAGCTCAAAAATTCCTCCGTCAAATTTTATCGAGATCGGATCAGATTAGGATATAGTTTTTTTGTGCATCAAATGGCTAATATAAGCCCAAATGGACTAAATGTTGGCAATTCCGATTAAATCAATCCTAGAAACAAGCACTTAAAATTTAATGAAAATCTGTTCAGATATAGCTATAGTTCCCATATATATGTTTCATCCGATTTGGTGTTAAAGACCCTCACAAGCGTAATATGCACTCCACAACAATAATCTTTGGTAGCTGATATAAGATGAAGCTCAGAAATAGGTGTTTAAAATTTTGCCAAGATCGGTTCAGATTTAGATTTGGATATATCTTTATCCGATTTCAGGTTTTTTTGTGCACCAAATGCTTAACTGAATTTTGGCACTTCCGACTGAATTCATCCTTCAGATTTGGTGAAAATCGGTTCATATACAGCTATAGCTTTCATATATGGGGTGGTACCAGAAGGGGTGGGCCTGTGTTATTTGGAGTCATTTTAGGGGTGTCCGTCTGTCTGTCTGGTCGACAATTTACTTAAATTATTTTCTTTAAAAAATTTGCCTTTTTGTGGGGGACGAGATGTGAACCGATGTTGCCCATCTCCGAAATCGATCTAAATTTGGCAAATTTGAACCATATCAGTACTCCCTTCGATATTTATCGTGCGCACCAGCCAGCCAGTCAGACAGACGGACGGACACCTCTAGATCGACGCTAAATTCCTGAAACGGATTTGGTCCAAAGACACCTAGGGTCTAAAACCTTTCTTTCGATGAGGCACTTTTCGGCCGTATCAAATGATACATACACTCCTCTATAGTCATGTATCTGAGGGTATAAAAACACACACAACATACAGTTACGTAACACTGTGCACTTCTCACACGGTATAGCATAACAATAACAACAATGAATTGAGAATTATCCAAACTGGATTTCTCCCATTCAATGTTTACGTTTTTGGTTTCAACTAAAGTAAATGTGCCGGGAACAGAGATAGTCGTCGACAAAAAACACTAAAAAAATTATTCATGACTAAACTTGAAATCTTAAAACTCACGCTCCAACCACAAATACAGATGCATTCGACATTCTATTCTAGTCGATACATTCACTGCTTGGTTTAGTCAGTAGCTGTTTAAATGCATTGAGAACTGGACGCAGAGATCGGATAATAATCGCAATGGCATTTTACAACTGCCAATGGACCAGATCAAAATTTCTGCGGTTTTCTGAAAGTATCGGATTCTATTAATAAACAATTTATTGATAATTTTAATTGTTAAGCATTTATTTATAGTTCTATTCGCGTTGAAAGTATTCTTATTGCTTTTTGTGATACACATCTGTCACATGCCTGCTGCTGGTCATCCTCAGTCCGGATTTCGTTTGGGCAGCAATGAATTGCGTTCAGCTCCAAGTGCAATTGTAGTCAGACAGCTGCTGCAGCCGGGCCAGGAATTGATTTTTAGCAACAGTGAAAGCTCCAACAGCGTGGAGAGTTTTACGGATGCGCCAAATACAGGCGGCACATATCCGGTTTTTGTCAACAATGTACCCGTATATCCTACACTACCGCCATTTTTGCCGCGTGCCACAACTCCTTCGCCGGAATTCTTGGCATGTATACAACGATGTCCCACGACGTCCGAGTACAACCCCATATGCGCCAGCAATCGTCAAATGTATGGCAATGAACAGAAATTCAATTGTGCCAGACGCTGTGGAGCGAGTAAGTAATCGAATGTGTGATTTATTACTTCATCTAACACCTATTACAAAATCTGATCGAGCGAGTGGGTGGTGGGGGGAAGTGGAGATTAGAAATTGATTGGACCATTAGTGTGATTAATTATAGAAATTGTCAGTTCGGCAGTTTTGTCATCAATTTATACTCATCAAGCATTCTATATAAACAGGCTGTTGTTATACCCTTCACCAATCTATGGAGGGTATATTAACCTTGTCATTCCTCTTGTAACTCCTCATGATAGACCCCACAAAGTATATTTATTCTGGATGAGCGTAAAATTCGATGACTATTTAGCGATTTCTGTCTGTCTGCTGTAATCAGACTATCTTTCTATCGAATTGAGATAAAAGGCAAAAATTTTACACACGTGTGTGTATGCCTACTGGAGGTTCGATTTGTAAATAGACCATGTCGGTTTTCGTATATCCCCCTTGTCACAGTACTTCCCGATATTCGGAATTTCGATCATTTTAGCGACATTATTCACCGGAATTGTTTCAAATTCCGTACTCAAAGTTCGTTATGTGTACTGCAGCCTATAACAAAAAAATATGTATGAAGGTTCACGTCTTCGTATAGCCCAAATATAACGGTGCCTCCCGATTTTCCGTATTTTAACAATTTTAGCGACATTATCCACGGGAATAATTTCGTATTTGAAGTTCGGAATCGGTACTACAGCTTATGACAAAAAATTACTTACGGTTCTCAACTAAGCGGTTTTCATTTAAGCTGTATTTTCGGAATTTCTTGAACTTTTTCAAGTTCCTACCATATGGTGTAGAAAGTTCGAACTGTCCGAACTTAGCAGCGTTTTTACTTGTTGTAACTAAATTTTGACCATCCTCCGATTGAAACCAGTAAGGAAAAGTCAAAATTCTTGTGGGGCCGACAATTTGATTTGAAGTAGATCATACCACCTAGCAACATTTGGCTTTAGAGCAGTCATAATTTGGTTTCAGAGGGAATTATTATATGGGAGGCATGTCCAATTCTGAATAGATTTTCACTAAATTTGACGGAGACATTTCTATCTTTTATACCAGAAATTTACTGCATTTGGGCTGATATTAGCCATTATTTGCACAATAAACCTGAAATCGGATTAAGGATATATATGGGAGCTATATCCAAATCTGAGCCGATCTCGATAAAATTTGGCAAAGATATTTCCCAGCTCTATAAGATATGTGGTACCAAATATCATTTTTGTGGAACGCATATTCGAATCTGAGGGAATTAAAAAACAAATCGGATGAAACATATACAGGGTCAGATGAAGAAACGGCAACAAAGTCAAACGCTATAATTTTTATTTTTTTTTTTATTTTATTTTATTGAATGAAATCAAAAAATGTCAGAAATGACATAAAATTTTAGAATAAGTTTAGATTTGTTCGAATTGGTCACCTTTGGCACGAATTATGGCCTTCAAACGACCAATGAAACCGTCACACGCTGTCCGAATGTTGTTCTGTGGTATTTTAGCCCATTCCCGGCGAAGGGCTTGCTTGAGATGATCGACATTTTGGTATTTTTTAGTGTCAACCTTGCTTCTTAAAATACTCCAGACACAATAGTCCAAAGGATTGGTATCCGGAGATTTTGGTGGCCATTTTGCGCTGGAAATGAAGCGGGTTTAGATCAACTCGCAATATCACAATATCTGAAATGAGCATCTGGTTCTCTTCACATTGGGATATATTGGTCCATTCCTTCTGGTACCTCCCCCACAAAGGGTCAATATTTTGAGTATTCATGAAATTAACATCCGATTCCATTCCAGACTTGGTACATTTCCATCATCACAAGATCTAGGTGGATATTGGAACATTTCTTTAGGTACCTGCCCCACATAAGTTTCAAGATTTCGAAAAACAAACGCTTAAAAAAAGCAAGATAAGCATCCAATTCTCAACATCTGTCAACCCCTTCTGGTACCTTACCCACAAACCGTAACGGTATATTTAAATAATCGAACATTAACTGAGGGTATACATCTGTCGGCAAAACCGATTGATACTTTTTAACTTGTAATACCCTCTACCTTGGAAAGGAGGGTATATAAACCCCATAAAGTATATATATTCACTTTAACGATATATAAGTCACTTTAACGATGTCCGTCTGTCTGTCCGTCTATCTGTCCGTCTGTCTGTTAAAATCACGATACAGCCCACACTATTTGACGTATAGCGTCAAAATTTAGCAGAACAATTTGTATTGTGTCTAGGATGGTTGGTATTGAAAATGAGATAAATCGGTCCACGTTTTGGTATAGTCCCCATATAACGGTACCTCCCGATATTCAGTATTTTGATGATTTTTGCCACCTTTTTTCACGGATTTATCTGAAAATTGGTATTTGTTGTCATAATGGGTTCAAGCTCAGGTGGCTAAACATTGCATGTATAGGTCCACGTTTTAGTATAGCTCCCATATAATGGTACCTCCCGATATTCGATATTTTGATGACTTTTGCCACATTTTCCCACGAATATGTTTAAAAATTGGTATTTGTGGGTCATAATAGGTTCTAATGTTTCCTTTATCCTATGGTGGAGGGTATTAAAAGTTTGACTCAGCCGAACTTAATGTTTTTTACTTGTTTTTATTTATATTTTATTTTATAAAATTGCAACCACAAATGGAATTGCCAACACTATAATTTTTTCCATTTCCATTCCCCTACGCCCTTGTCTCTCTCAAATCAAATGAAAGGAAAGCAATGAAAACAAATCAAATCAAAGAAAATTAATTCGGAGATACTAACAAAAAAATGTCTTTTCATTTACTTTTAGACATTCAAATTGTACGAAGAGGATCATGTGCAGATCTTACAAAACCACCGAGGGCATAAAACTCCGCAATTCTTCTGCTTACCACGATAATGCTACTGGAAGATTGATAAGTTTGCAATTTAAATATTTTTTGATATTTAATTAAATAAAATTAAAAATAAAAGGTGATTTTTTTGAGGTTAGGATTTTCATGCATTGGTATTTGACAGATCACGTGGGATTTCAGACATGGTGTCAAAGAGAAAGATGCTCAGTATGCTTTGACATTTCATCATGAATAGACTTACTAACGAGCAACGCTTGCAAATCATTGAATTTTATTACCAAAATGTTGGCAGAAAATCCGCTTTTTTATCGACAAATTTTGTTCAGCGATGAGGCTCATTTCTGGTTGAATGGCTACGTAAATAAGCAAAATTGCCGCATTTGGAGTGAAGAGCAACCAGAAGCCGTTCAAGAACTGCCCATGCATCCCGAAAAATGCACTGTTTGGTGTGGTTTGTACGCTGGTGGAATCATTGGACCGTATTTTTTCAAAGATGCTGTTGGACGCAACGTTACGGTGAATGGCTATCGCTATCGTTCGATGCTAACAAACTTTTTGTTGCCAAAAATGGAAGAACTGAACTTGGTTGACATGTGGTTTCAACTACATGCCACACAGCTCGCGATTCTATGGCCATTTTGAGGGAAAACTTCGGAGAACAATTCATCTCAAGAAATGGACCGGTAAGTTGGCCACCAAGATCATGCGATTTGACGCCTGTAGACTATTTTTTGTGGGGCTACGTCAAGTCTAAAGTCTACAGAAATAAGCCAGCAACTATTCCAGCTTTGGAAGACAACATTTCCGAAGAAATTCGGGCTATTCCGGCCGAAATGCTCGAAAAAGTTGCCCAAAATTGGACTTTCCGAATTGACCACCTAAGACGCAGCCGCGGTCAACATTTAAATGAAATTATCTTCAAAAAGTAAATGTCATGGACCAATCTAACGTTTCAAATAAAGAACCGATGAGATTTTGCAAATTTTATGCGTTTTTTTTTTTTAAAAAAGTTATCAAGCTCTTAACAAATCACTCTTTATATATGAAATAAATATGTTTACATATTAGAACTCAATAGGTATGTATGTCCTTTTGCTTCACCAACTTTTGTAACGATCCTCCATATAAGTATGAGTTTGACTGAATATGTGTATTTCACAATTGATGAAACAATAAAAAATATGACAAAAAAACAAAAAACACTTGAAAAAATGAAAAAAGTACACAGTTCTGAAAACCAAAAGTAAACTAATAAATAATGGTGATGATGTTGATGACTATGAAGATGATGATGTTGATTATCATCATCATGATACACTTCTGGCATATGGCAAGAGATAAGAAATTCTGTGGCGAGTGAAAAATTCGAAGAAAATAATAAAAAATATTATTTTATTCAGATCAGTTTCAATTTGGTAGTGTCCGCGAAAAGTTGTATAGATTTCAATTTAGAAAAGCAAATAAACAAAATGAGGAAACACTGTGGAAAAGGTATTAAATAAAATTCCATACGCATTACATTTTTGAAGACGATATCGCAGTTCGTATCTGCCTCGTAAACAGGCCTTTAAAATTCATAACAATATATACAATACCTAGCAGAAGTTCGGTCGTGACCACCTTTTTAATACCCTTTGCCATGCGGAAAATCAAATTACAACCAACTCGACCTTAAAATCCTAAAAATTTGAGGATATAGTTACGTGGTAGATTTGCCAATGGCAGTAAAAGTAATTTTTTTTTTGTCAGATAATGTGATGGGTTTACGTGTAGGTTGAAATTTGTGACTTGGGCCTTCTAAATGCCATCCAAAACCAGGATTTATATTTTATATTTTTTTTTGCGGAACGTGTTCTACAAGTGAAAGTTTTAAAATATCAAAATGCAGCCACTTTGGCAATTTATATGGGATTAGATACCGAATCAATACTGAAGAATGTCGCAATCGAATTTTCATTCAATGAAAACTCAAACTGCCCATTATTTTAAAACCTTTGGAATACCGGAATATTCTCCTTAGAAATACCGAATATTCCTACTAAATGAAAAAAATTGCGTATGAATTTCGAGTGCTATTGGCATATCTTGTTCTGATTGTAACACTGTGCAACACAAAAAATTATTACGGAAATAATTCAACAAATTATGAAAGTATAGCTAAAAATGGAAGATATGTGTATAAATCGCAACTTCCACACTTTTAGAAATTTTCGGATTAAGATTCCTCGAAATTCTCTCATTTTTGGTATATAGTGTTGTTGGCAATATTACTGATAACAATACGAAGATATTTTTGGTGGAAAAAGAAAACACTCAAGGTGGTCATCAAAGGAGTCCGTTTGGACCTTTTTATACCCTCCACCCTCAAGGTGGTCAAAAAAGGGTTTTTTGTGGACCTTTTTTTCCCTTCACCTTGAAATTTTCCTCATTCCGTTTGTAACACCTCTTAATATTCGACATACAGGGTGAGACAAAAAAAAAACTGCAACAAAGTCAAACGCTATAATTTTTAAACTTTTTTATTTTAAATGTTATTGAATGAAGACAAAAAAATTTCGGAATTAGCATTGAATTTTGAAATAAGTTTAGATTTGTTCGAATTGGTCACCTTTGGCACGAATTATGGCCTTCAAATGGCCAATGAAACCGTCACACGCTGCCCTAATGTTTGTTTGCGGTATTTTGGCCCATTTCTGAGTGCGATGGTGCTGAGTCCTGTTGGAATGTCTAAGGTGTGCGGCCAAAATGTTTGCGTGACCAAGGCTTTAATACACCCTCCAGAATATTTTCACGGCATTTTTTCTGATTCCATGGTCGATTAATACGAGCGGAGAACGATTATCGGCTGTTATGGCGGCCCACACCATCACCATGGCCGGCGATTGAGTTCTGGTGGCCTACCGTAGGTGCACATTTTCAGCTGACCTCTTTGGCAAGTAAAAACGACCATTTTGTTTGTTTACAAACTGCTGGACAATGAATGTTATCTCATCGGAGATAGAGAAAACCAAAGTCGACAGTTCACCACTTTTGGCCAAGCGAAGCAACTCTTTACCTCTTTTGAGTCTATTTTCTTGGGGTTGCGGTGTTTTCATCGCACCCTGTATAAATACTAGTGAGACCGTTCGTATAATGCTATTAAACTTTTCAAAAAACCATAAAGTGGGTGAGGCTGTTGCATGGGGGCCATACGAAAACGGGAACCTCCATAGACATTTTTATACTTCAAGGATTGCCATCTACCAAATTTTTAAAAAATATCAAATTTTAAACAATTTCGTGGGTAAACGTGATTAGGATTATCAAAACATCGAGTATCGGTGGGTATCGTTATCGTTTTCGTGTGCGCTATAGGAAAACGTGGACCTAAATATTCAATGTTTCATTACCGGAACTAGAACCAATTATGAACTACAAATACCAATTTTTTAAAAAAATCCGTGGAAAAATGTGGCAAAAATCATCCAACTACCGAATATTGGGAGGTACCGTTATATGGGGGCTATACAAAAAACGTGAACCTAAATTTCCAATTTCCGCCACAGAAACTAGAACCTATTATGAACTACAAATACCAATTTTTAGACAAATCCGTGCAAAAATGTGGCAAAAATCATCAAAATATCGAATATCGGGAGGTATCGTTATATGGGGGCAATACCAAAACGTGGACCTATATATACAAGGTTTCGCCACCGGAGTTAAAACTCATTATGATCCACAAATTCCAATTTTTAGACAAATCCGTGAAAAAATTTGGCAAAAATATTCAAAATACCGAATAACGGGAGGTACCGGTAAATGGGGGCTACAAAAGAAACGTGGACCTATACCTACAATGTTTCGCGACTGGAGATAGAACTCATTATGAATACCGAAAGTCAGGAAGTACGTGGGCGATATATCTCATTTTCAATACCTTCCTACCAATAACCAATCAAGGCTGTGGACTTGATAGTTCTCGGTTTGTGGATAAAAACACCAATAGGATTTCGGATTCTTAAGCCAAACTGTTTCAAGTCTTTTTTATAGCCTTGACAAGAAACCCATTATTTTGAAATATATTTTACACCATCAAAATTTCAAAATTTGTTCGAGAAAAAATTTTCAAAAATTTCAATATTTGTTCGAGATTTTTGGATTACATCTAGAATCATTGGTACAGATAATAGGTTATAAAGGTCCACTTTTAGCTATGACCCCCATGTAAGGATAACTCGAAATCCTTCAAAAATAAGGTTTTGTGGGAGGTTTTTTTGTAAACTAACACGAAGCAAGGATTTAACCCTAAAACGTGTTTTAAATATATATGAATTCCTGGCGTTTAGGTAAGTTTGGGACTTTTGACGTCTTCTATGACCTATAGTAAAAATTTATGACAAAGAATTTTGTAGAATATTTGGACTTGAAAGGATCCCGTTTAAAGGGAGTTTTCACAATATTTATAAAATGGACCAAAAAGACCCCTCTGTTGACTAGTTTTAGGGTTAACATTTTCTGCAAAAATAATCCTTGTGTTTTTATTTGCAATATTGCCGAAGGAACTATAATTTATAGCCAAGAGCTTCCAAGAAATTTTAACATGAACATTTCACAAAAATGTGGAAGAGCTTGGAATTTGAATATACAAAAAGGATTCACTATATTCAAATTCAAAAGGAAAAAAACCTAAAATTTCTGATTCATTTGAAAATTGTTTTTATTCAAATGTTCATCGCAGGAAAACCCCTGTCGCCATCATACATTATTGTTCCTGCCTTCATATTTCCCTTCAAATATTTCATTACTTCCTTGTTCATTTTATTTTCAGCCACGGTCGTTGTACTATTTCTATGCTATGCCATATCTGTCATCCCACAGACTTCCAGCTATGTGTCCCATCGCAGACCCAATAACACATATGTGCCTGGTTACAAGCCAGCCAACAATTCATACGCTTACAACAGTAGTTTTTTAACACCGGGCTATAGACCAGCCACTAATGCCTTTAATCCAAATCCATGGCCTCAAAACCCCGTTTATACTCCAGTCAACAATTACAGTCAAGGATATCCAGCTGTAAACTATCAACCAGCTAATAACATGGCTCCGTTCAACAATTACTACAATCAAACCGGATACAGGCCACAAAATAACACCCGTTATCACAGATCTGTTCCGGCCTATGGACAAGCTCAATTCCAAGGAAATGGTCCAAATGGTAACAATTATTCCAACTACTATCATCCACAGCCTTCGGTGCCAAACACTCGACCCGCTATGGGATATAACAATAATCCATCCAATTATTATCCCCCACAACAAGTTTCGAGTGGTCACAGACCTCAACAAACTAAAAATTCTACCTATTTCCAGCCCTCGCCGCCAACAACTAACCATGTAGCGAATTCCCACATTTATCCTCCATTGCCAAACAATGGAGCGGCAAGACCTCAACAACCGAATCACTCTTGGACACCCGGCAATGGACAAACACAAAACTTGTATCCGAAATTACCCAATCGCTATCCAAATTCACCACAAATTCCACCTCAACAACAACGACCTCAAGTCCCAGTCCCTACTCCACCCCAATCCCCTGTGCCACCAAATGCAAACAACAATGCTGGCGCCCAACACCAAGGACCCAAAAATTGGCATTCTTCAGGACTTGCAGCTTTAAGCTATTCTCAAGTTCCAAATAATCAACCAAAGCCAAATGTGGGTTACTTGGGAAACCAAAGAAAATACTAAAGATATTTTTTGGCTAAAATTTGTGTAGAAATGCGAAATTCCATTTGTTAAAGAAAGTTTAAAAAATTAACTAAAATTAATATGCAATGCCGGGATGGAAAAGCAAAAACAAAAATCATTTGTTTTATTTGCTTTATAGCCAGACCCCCAGAAACAAATCACAAAAATATTTATTTTTAAGAGATTAAAAAAAAAAACGAAAACTAGGTTTTAAATGCAAAAAATTTAAAGAGTAAAAAATAAGTTCGGCCGAACCGAACTTTTAATACCCTCCACCATTTGGAATGATTTTGGAAATTTTCAAAAAAAAAAAAAAATCTGTTAAAATTTTAAAATTATCGAATATAGCCGTTATATTGGAGTCTGTTCAAAGACGTGGATCGCATAGTCAACTTTTGACACAAGCCATTACAATATTCAAAAACGAAATTTAAAAAAAAAAAACAAGTTAAAAAGCAGTAAGTTCGCCCGGGCCGAACTTTGAATACCCTCCACCATTTGGAACGAATTTGGAAGTTTTCAAAAAATACAATCCTTAAAAAAATTCTGTTAAAATCTTAAAAATACCGAAAATAGACGTAATATTGGGGTCTATACGAATTGGACCTACATACTCATTGTTTGTTATAAGCCATTACCATATAAAAACTGAAACTTGAAATAAACGGTGAATAATGTAGCTCAAAACATCAAAATATCGTATATAGGGAGGTGCCGTTATATCGGAGCTGTGCGAAGTCCTGGACCAGGATAGACAATTTTCTGTCACAGGTTGTAGCACCCATTACGAACTTCAAATACGACATCTCAAACAATTTCGGTGAGTATTGTACCTAAAATTGTTAAAATACCGAGTATAGGGAGGTACTGATATAGGGGGGCTTTACGAAGACGAAGATCTGCATAGACAATTTTCTGTCATAAACAAATTTGAAACAATTCCGGTGAATAATGCCGCTAAAATCATCAAAATACCGAATATCTGGAGGTACCGTTATATGGGGGCTCTACGAAGACGTGGACCTGCACAAAAAATTTTTTTGTCATAGGCTGAAGTGTTCATTACGAACTTCAAATACCAAATTTGAAATAATTCCGGTTAATAATGTCGCTAAAATCATCAAAATACCGAATATCGGAGGGGGGGGGGGGGTGGTGTACAGTTATATGGGGGCTATATGAAAACGTGGATCTACATGGCCCATTTACGAACTTAACCAGCCTACTGGAAAAATAAACATGTGTGCAAAATTTAAGCCTTCTATCTCATTTTGTTCGAAAGATAGCGTGATTACAACAGACAGACAGACGGACATGGCTAAATCGACTTAGAATTTTACGCTGATCTAGAATATATATACTTTGTTGGGTCTGAGTATTTCGAGGGGTTACAAACGGAATGACAAAGTTAATATACCCTATATACCTTATAAAAATCCGGTAAATAATGTGGCTAAAATCATCAATATACCGAATATTGGGATGTACCGTTATATCGGGGCTATACGAAGACCTGGACCTGCAAAGACAATTTTTCGTCGCAGCCTGTAGTTCCTATGAGGACTTTCAAATACGACCTTTAAAAAAAAAACGGTGAATATTGTACCTAAAATCGTCAATATCGGGAGATACTGTTATATGGGGCCTATACGAAGACCTGGACCTGCATAGTCAATTCTGGCATAGACTGTAGTTCTCATTACGAATTCTTAATACGAAATTTGAAACGACTCCAGCCAATAATTTACCTAAAATCATCAAAGTACCGAATATTGGGATTGGGACGTTATATGGAGGCTATACGAAGACGTGGGCCTACATACACAGTAGGACCCATTACGAATTCTAAATACTAAAGTTGAAACAAATTCGGTGAATAATGTCCTTAAAATCTTTAAAATATGGAATATCGGGGGGTACCGTTGTATGTTTGCTATTCGATATCGTGGACCTATGTAGACATTTCTCTTCCAGGGGATAAAGTGATTAGAAATAACTCCTTTTGTGGGTTTTTGGACAATTCCATTGAAAAATTTGGCTACAACCATCAAAAACCGAATATCGTGGGGTTCCGTTACATGAGGCTATACACTATCGTGGACCTATATAGGCAATACTCTTCCAGGCGGTAAAGTACTCAGATGAAACTCCTTTTGTGGAATTTTAGACAATTTCATCGAAAAATTTGCCTAGAGTCATCAAAATACCAAATATCGGGGGGTACCGTTATATGGGACCTGTACAATATCTTGGACCGATACAACCCATCTGTGCAAACTTTTAGCTTCCTTTCATTATTCGTTTTGATTCTAGCCTGATTACAACACGGATGGACGGACCGGGCTAAATCATCTTAGAATTTTACACTAATGAAGAATATATATACTTTGTTATGTCTAAAATTATTATTTCGATGAGTTCCAAAATGGAATGACGAACTTACTATTGCCTCCACACTATGTATGGTGGAGGGTATAAAAATAGTTTGTTTTCATGTTCCAACTAAAATTTAGGAGTAAACAAAGGATTGAAACAATGTCATATGGCGAGTAGAGCTGTCATCTAGCGAAACATAGCGTACGTTAAGTTAGCATTACATGGTGATTCAATCAAAGCAATATGTTGCTTTGTTACATGAATGACATATAGATGGCACTGCTTGGAAAAGGTGATTATGAAATTATTCATCTGTTTACAACATAAACGAATTCAATAAGGAAAGACAAAAGCCAGTTGGGCAGACTGCTTTATTAGCTTAGTGCATAGTGGGATCCGGTGCTAATTTTGGAATATATAGGAACTAGCTTTTTAGGAGTAAAGAAGACCGTTTGAACTTATTATTACAAGATAGTTGAAGTCATTCATGCCAAACAGAGTATGGTGTGTGCTGGCAGGTGTCTCCTTTTCTATGACAAAGTCTTCGGAAGATGCGTAACGAATTCAGGAAGTTTGTAAGTGTGTACCAAATATTATAAAATTCTGTTTCGAGAGCGTGTGAAGATAGCGATTTTGAAATTTGTAAATCCACACTGGAATTCTTACTCATTAATAATTATCCAATACCATAAGCCGATTGAAAACCTATACCTGTGGCCTATTTGGAAAAGTTTTTTCAAAAAATTTAAACATTTTCTTTTTAAACCCTCCATCATAGTATGGATGGGTATATAAGGTTTTTCATTCCTTTTTTTAACACATCGAACTATAAATTTTAGACCCCAAAAAGTATATATATTCTTTATCAGCATAAAATTCTATGTCGATATAGCGATGTCCGTCTGTATGTCTGTCTGTTCGTCTGTGGAGATAACTTAGCTTCTAAACGAATTAAAGTATGTTGATAAAATTTTACTTAGATGTTAGATGTGTTAAGTCTGCAGGAATAGTTCTCATATAACTATACCCCCATATATTTGGTACTTTGATAATTTGTGTCACACTTTTCACCGGAATTGTATCAAAATTCGTATTTGAAGTTCCTAATGGGTACTACAACGTATGACAGAAAAATGCATAAGGTCTTCGTATAGTCCCATATAACGCAACCTCTCTATATTCTGTATTTTGATCATTAAAACGACATTTTTCACCGGATTGGTTTCAAGTTTCGTATTTGAATATCGTAATGGCCTATGACATAAATTGCATATACCGGTCCACATCTTCATATAGGGCCCAAAATAACGGTAACTTCCTGTATCCAGTATTTTGCAATTTTAGTAGTATTTTCCAACGGATTTTCTTGAAAAGTTGCAAATGCCTTCCAAATATTGGAAGCTATTCAAAGCCGATATTACTTCTTTTTCACTTGTTTTTATATCCTTCACCTCGAACTTTGTCATTCCGTTTGTAACACCTCTAAAAATTCGTCATAGACCCATAGATTTAACGATGTCCGTCTGTCTGTTGAAATCATGATACAGTCTACATTATTTGATGCAGATCTTTAAAATTTGGCACAATAGTTTGTATAGTGTCTAGGATGTTAGGTATTGAAAAAGAGATATATCGGTCCACCTTCGTGATAGCTATTTAACCTTTTCTCCCGATATTCGGTATTTTAAAAGTTTTAGACACATTTTTTGTAGTGTTTGTAGTTCGCAATGTGTTCTAGCTTCGATGGAGGAACATTGTATATATAGGTCAGCGGTGCTCAAGAAAAAATATCTCTTTTCAGTCAAATTTCTCTTTGCTTATTTAAATCAAGAACAAATAGTGTTAAGTCATTATTGATACAAATATGTTTTATCCATTAGCTTTATAAATTATTTTGGCAAACATCCGTGTTTAAAAACAATTAACTAGAACCGTAAAAAATAAAGAAAAACAGAATTTTAATTTTCTCTTAAATTATCTCTTTTTTCGGCTCATGTTCTAGAACACTGTTTTGAGCACCGCTGATATAGGTCCACATTTTCGTATAGCCCCCGTATAACGCTACCTCCCGATATTCGGTATTTTGATGGTTTTTGCCAAATTTATAAAACGTTAGACGACATTTTATGCAATTTTCAGGCGTTAACTTGCAAAAAATATGCGAGGAAAAAAGTAGATAAAAAATAGGGGATATTTACGTCTTCGTATAGCCCCTATATATACCGGTACCTCCATATATTCGGTATTTTCATGATTTTATCGATATTATTCACCGGAGATCTTAATGCGTACTACAGCCTATGACAAGAAATACTTATGCAGGTTCACGTCTTCGTATAGTCCTCATATAACGGATTTCATTTAAGCGATATTTATCGGATTTTTTTGCAATTTTTTAAGTTTCTTCTTTTTGAACCGATTTTCACCAAATTTGAAGTACTGGTTTCTAGGATGAATTCAGTCGGAAATGCCAAGTTTCAGTCCATTTGGGCTGATCCAAATCTGATCCGATCTCGATGAGTTATCTTGTACCAAATATCATTCTTGTGGAGTGCATATTACGCATGTGAGGGGCATACAGCGCCAAATCGGATGGAAGATATATATGGGAGCTATAGTTATATCTGAAGCGATTTTCTCCAAATTTGATGTACTTGCTTCTAGACTAAATTCAGATAGATGTGCCAACATTCTAGTCATTTGGACGGATATTGGCCATTTGGGGCACAATTAACCCGA